TACAGGTTGGACTAAGACAGAAACATTGCAGTTAATTGAAATCTGCAAAGAAGAAAGAAGTAATTTAAACAGCACGAAATTAAAAAAAAATTGAGGTGTATAAGATAATATCCAAAAAAATGTGCGAAAAAGGGTTTAAATTTTCTGCAGAGCAGTGCCAGAACAAGATGAAAACATTAACGGTGTGATGACCTAAAAGGCCATACCCTACCCGCCGAAAGTGAATACCTGAACGCCAAATTCAAATGAAAACAAAATGGCCGAAAAATCGTGATCGTCATCGAAGTGGTTAGGAACCTACGTTGTGTTTGTCAAAAATTGGCGGGCAAATTGTTCGAATGCGCATGCGTGAGATTCAATATGGAAAGGGCACGAATAAAACTCAAATTGGAAGGAAAGCATTTATTGTTTATTTCCTGCAGTCATGTAAAACAATCGAGAAAATCAAAATGAAGTGTGAATGAGAAGAAGAAAAAAAAAAAACAAAAACCAAACGGTAACAAAAGTTACGAACGTGGTTAACAATGGCTTAAATTCCTCGAAGTGTTAGGGACGCCGTAGACTAGAGACTCTATCAATTCATTAGTTATTTGGGGTTGTTTAAAACGATGGTAACATGGAATTTACTAACAACAATACAAAATAAAACTGTAGACGAGTTTTCATATAGATTATGAAAGAGTATTGGAGAATCAGGTTGTAACATTGGTTATTATGACAGAAATTCAGTTCAACTACAATGTATTAACAGCACACAAAACACGAAGTTTGGGAATTTTAATCTTGGCTCTTGTCGTCAGTTCAGCTAAGCTACAGCGCGGGTGATTTGAAAACTACAGCGCGGTTGGTTTTGAAAACTACTGTGTGGAACACCTTGCCAAGTCATCCCATCGGTTCGGCGCCACCTTTTCACTGCAAACTACCGAGCTAAACCCATAAGCAACTTTCCCAAGTCATCCCCGAGGTACTGGTTTCCCGTGGGCAAGCTTTCTTTCTTTCGTACGCAAAAACTTCCGAGCGCATCCCATAAGCAACTTTCCCAAGTCATCCCCGAGGTACTGGTTTCCCGTGGGCACACTTTCTTTCTTTCGTACGCACAAAAAAACTCCCGAGTGAATCCCATAAGCAACTTTCCCAAGTCATCCCCGAGGTACTGGTTTCCCGTGGGCTCGCTTTCTTTCTTTCGGTATTTGACAGAAGCGAACCGACAACTTAAGTCACAAGAAATGATAATTTGAAAAAAATGTCCTGAGTTATTTACTGGATTTTAAGTTTGTCTAGTTTGATTTTTAAATGCACAGGATATCGCAAACCAACAGCAGTTTAAATTTACCAACACGTGGAAAACAAAACAAAGCCTCGCCTCGACGCCCCCACACAACAAATCGCAAAAATAATTGTTAATACAAATTTAGAAAACCCTAATGCACATGCATGAATACAAATTAACAAGAAACTTAAACGGATTGGAGGTATTTTGATAGATACACCTTACAAACTCTATCATGGCGTCCATGACGTCATACCGCGTGGCGGTTATTTTATGGCGGGAGATTTCCGACAGCATCTTAGCCAAACGGCGTTTTAATTAAAGAATTCAACCCTACCTTGGCAACAATTTTCCCAACAGGCTAATGTCCTGGGAAATTAGGAAATAGCACGACTTTCCCAAAAACGCGGTTCACACTCGTGGAAAGCTGATCGTCACACCAGGTGTTTTTCCATGTAATCGGTGTTTTAATTGTTTGACAAAACGGAGGGGTTTTACAGTAGCTTTGATTTTAAGTTAAAACAACAATAAAACATTCAAACAAACAAAAGGAAACTTTCAAAACAAATGGGAGAAACACGGCACGTCTGGATTCGGTCACTTGTTTTTTTGCAAGAGAGCGTTGGTTCGTTTCACCCCCGCTTCCTTCCTTTTTCTACCGCTAGGGTGACATCTACTTCCACCCCAGGAAGTGGCGCTAAATTCGAATTCAAATGCGGATATTTCAACGGCAAAATACAAAGAAATAACCGACCATAACAGTACTACTGGAAATAATCCCGAACTTGGGAATTCTATGAACTTATGCTAGACTACTTTAGCAAGTCACCCAACATTACTCCAGTGGCAAGTTGTTCTAGCCTAGGAGTAAGTATAATCAATGCATTAAAGCGATCTGAAAGTCCAAGCAGCAGCAGCAGCTGTAGTTTAAATACGGATAGCAATGGTAGCCTGCATAAAACCAAACGCCAACGAAGTACACCAAGAACAGAAATGTCCCAGTG